GTATGATGGATTTTATCTATAATTCTAACACTCCTAAAGTGATACAGTTAAAGAATTGCCTTCCCTTTGTAGCATTCCCACATTTTATTTGTCTACTAGTTTGAAGGTTTTTATTAAAAAAAAAAAAAACACCTTTAATTTCATAGAGACATTGATTAAGTAGAGACAAATGATTAAGTAGATGAAAGAATGTGTTTCTATTTCCCTTTCTAACTTTCTTTCCCACCCAGCAGCAATGTTTTTTTCTTATAGATCCAAATGCCCAACTAGATTTTAGGTAACTGTACCTTTTCCTAAAGATTTTACTGTCTCAAAGATTGTCCAAAATCAGAAGAACCAACTCTTTTAAGACTAAAGAAAAAGAAGAGAGAAATACTGAGTTAAAAATAAGATGAAGTAACACAAAATACCATTTTTACCAATAACAAATAATGATTTTTTTGGTCCCCAAATGCCATATTTATGTAAAAGACTTTCTGGTTAATTTCTCATAGAATTACTTATACAGTATTTTATTTTTCCAATACACTCTTCTCCAGATCCCTCTGTGGTCACTGTTAAATAAGAAAATTTTAGAAAGGGAATAATCATGAATCTCATACAAATATAAAATAATCATCTGTCAAAGACTGTATTGACCTCAATAATGAATGAAGAAACTAGGAAGATGTTACAACCAATTCAAAGGAAATTTAAAAGAGCCAAACATATTCAGGCAAATAAGAATGCTGAAATGAATTTACAAGTAGATGCAAAATGAGTTTATCTACAGGACAACCAGTTACATTCTACCAGACACAATTAGTTCTCATTTCTATAAGCCTGAATCATTTTCATGATCAATTTTCTACAATTTATAGAGGAGTAAAGATAACTCATGGTTATTTTAAATCTCAGAGATTTAAAAATTTTGCAGTAATCAGAAAGAATGCACTGAACAGAATATCCAGTAATATTTAGGGTCTGTTTTAAAGTTGTTGTAATTTTTTCCTACACTATTAAATTTATTCCCTCCTCACCCTTCACCCTAAAACCACCAAAGAAAGAAGAAAAAGAAATATATGGCCCCTATCAAATTATAATTCAAATGTTATAAGATTGAAAACTAAACTAAAATTAAATATCTGTAATGTGATTTCTTGCAAGTTTCAGTTTGTATTTTAAAACTAGAGAATGAGCTGAGGCTCGTAACAGCGTCAAAACAAGACTCCAGAGCTACTATATTGTGCTACTCATATTTTGAATAATCCCAATGATTTTTTTAAACAAACACGCATGTGAAAGAAGGAGGGAGAAAAGGAAGAGGAAAAAAAAAAGTTAAACATCAGACTATGTGTATAAAACTAGAGCTAAGTAGTTAATACCTGAGGTGACATGAGACTAAGAGTGAATTGTTTCTCCGTAGCATCGTATAAATAAAATGATAGTTTTTATTATTTCAGTCCATGCTTCTGACTCCATAATAGCCACTGATAAACTAAACTGCTTTGGGATTTTACAAGTGAATTTGATTATCACTTATCTATTTTGTAAATAGGGAATGTGGTTATACCTCTAATTAAAGGATAAGCATTTTGGCAGTGAAATGAACAATGAAGCTTGCAAACAGAAGGAACATAAATAATTTATTTGCCAAGGTTCTGTTCATTTGTTTGTTTTATCCTGGAGATGGGAAAACTAAATGCAGAAATCATATCAATCAGTTCAGAAGCTTAAACCCACCATTTAAAGAACTCGCTATCCAAGCTGTTCCTCAGTCTGGCAGCAGTGCTGCTAACCAAGAGAATAGTTAAGTTGCCTAAATTAAACTTCAATAAGACATTGTCCCTGTGTACATCCAGACAATTAACACGCAGATTTTTAAAAAGCACATTGACTCCATTTTAAAGGTCGCACTTTAAAGGTTCTAACTCAGCAAGAACTACTGAACTTCTAAACATTTCAGTTAAACCTCCAGGCTCATTTGACTGCCCGCTGCCTGACCTTTGTTCCTCCCACTTGTGGCCAGAAAGCTCAAGATAGTAAATACAGAGTTGGGAGATCCAGGGTTGTGGGGGAAGGTTTCATATGAAAAACAGTTATTATTCATTTGGCCATTTGCACTATTAGATATTTTTCTTTTGAAATACAATCTCCTGCCTTCAGTGAGAGAGAATATTATATCATCCAGTGTATGCACTAGAGAAATTAAACTGAGTGCCGAAAGACAGCACCACTTAAAGACCAAATTGTTCTTAATTTGTGTGAACTTGATGAAGACCTAAGGATAGTGGGTTGGGAGATATGCCAGTAAGGCTGTCTGACACTTGATAACGTTCTCACTTGGGAGACATAAAGTAGATTAACCCTAAGTATCCAAATAGTCAAAAATATACACATACCCACAACACACATAATTCTTTTTTCATTTAGATGCTGCTTTAAAATAAACAAGTCCTAATCATTGCAATGAATTCATGGGGCAGTGGCATCTCTTTCTACTTTCTGTGATTTTGGTGTATCTTCCCAGTCCTGGAGAGAGAACAAGTGCAAAGTGATTGATGTTATAGGCCAGGAGAGCTGAGGGTTTCATTTGTGCCTCCTTCACATTCTAGATTGCATCTGGGACTCACTTTTAATCTACGAGATAAAATGTAAGCCAATTTAGCTACTTGTCATTCTCATAAGTTATATATGTGGGAAACGATGGAGACAGATGCCTAAAATCAGTTTTGAGAGAACTGATGAATCTCAGTGTGCTTGACATGTCCACCAAATGTTCTATAGAAGGAGTTGGAAGACTACAACCCAATAGGCCAAATTTAGACCCTTCTATCTCCCTTCCCATTCCCCACCCCAGTTTTTATAAATAAAATTTTATTGGAACACAGCCACACTCATTTTGTTTCATATTGCCTGTGGCTGCTTTCACAGAGTTAAGTTTTGCAACAACAAAGACCCACACACATAGCCCACAGAATCTAAAATCTTCTCTGTCTGGCTCTTTACCAAAAAATCTATCTGATTCTTAGTCTTTTGTAATGGTCACTGAAAAGGGCTATTATAACCGACAGAGCAATAGTCCTTACTGGATTGGAAAAGCTAATAGGGTACTGTTCTTTCTGAGATCTTGTCATCTTTTTTATTTGAAAACAAAATTCAGGACCACATTATTAAAGAAGCAGTATTCATCACTGTTGTCAAAGTTTAAAGACTTATCACTTGCTTTGGGGTTTCTCTTATATATACAATAGCATGGTATATATTTTCCTTTCTGTCCACACCTGGGTTGTGAAATTCAATGCTTGTATATTTGTTATGATTTTTGTCCCAGGACTCAGGCAGACAGATGTGAATATATAATAAGAGGGTTAAAATTATTTTGATTGCAGAGTTTGGTTTTATATTCCTAAAAGATGGCTACAGGTAGCATTATTTAAAGAGAGAAAGATATTTTAATCTTATTGGATGCGTTTTCCCTACCACATTCTTGAGGTGCCAGAAGATGGAGTCAGGAATTAAAAAATGAAAGGAGGAGGTGATCCTGCGATGAGAATTTCTTGGGAATAATTCTGAGTGATGCTTCCTCCTTAATCCACCTTCCTGACAACATTGTGTGTAACTCTCATCCTCCTCTCAGGCGTGGCTCTTCAAAGGTACCAAGTGTCAAATCCTTCCTCAGGGGACCCCTCCCTGCCTCAGATGCTGTTGGCTTTGGGTCTCTGTTGCAGTCTCCCTGCCCAGGTTCAGACCACAACTTTGTTTTGCTTCTTTCAGTTTGAAAACTTGGATCAATTTCCTGTTAGAATTTCAGCTTCTCTAAACTAAATGGGAACTATTTTCACTTTCTGCGACTTAATGCTATAACCTTCTTATCACTTCTTTCCTTTTCTGCCAAAAGCAGGGTTAAGCAGCCAGGTTTGCATGCCTCCTCAGCACGACTCCCAGTGCAAAAGCAGTAGGATCATAGAAAAAAAATTTTTTAAGATTTTTATTCCAAAGTCCTTTCTCCAGATTATTATACTAACTTTGCGAAAATGTTAGTGGTGCCCTCAAGGCTTTTTTCCCCTGGATACTTCTCAAGGTCATTTCAGATATGGCAATTGTTGATTAGTTGGAGGAAAACAGTCTTTTTATTTTTATTTTTATTTTTATTTTTTTGGAATTTGGATATTGTCCTACCTTCTAGAGAAACTCAGGGAAGTTCTCGTTAATGTGACTTCGCTCTGTGGGGAGGGACTGGAGGCTGTCAGACAGACATATATGGATGCAAAACCCCTCATTTACGGTGACATGCCTGTGGATTTAAATTTGTAGCAAGGCTTTTCTCTCAGATATAAAAAGAATCGCAGGCCAGACTAATTCAAAGAATGTGTGAGGAACAAGGCTTTGCTCCATTCTTGGAAACTTTAAAAAAAAAAAAGAAAAAAAAAACCCTCTTTCTCTTTCTATATATAAATAAATCTTGGGAAGCACATTGAGCAAAAAAGCAAAGAAAGTTACAGAATCTGAAATCCAGACTAAAACAAAAAAGTATATATATACTTCCTTAAATATCTCTAAGGGCTTACTTTGTTATAGTTTTTAGCATCAGTATTAGTCTGCTGTAAGAATAGCCAACATCTCGCAGGAGGCACAAGGGCTGGAATTTAGATCAAGAGAGAAGAAATCAGTTCCCTGCTCTGAAGAGCCATTACTGTGGGTGCAAAGCTGGGAGAAAGCAGGTGGTCTGTGGCTGGAACATCTTCCAGCTGGGGGTTCATGTGACACTCACGAAGAAACCCATCCGGAGACTGGCAGATGAGCTCGTGAGCTGCCCTGAAGCACCCAGCACAGGCCAGGACAGGGTGGCAGAGCCCTGGGCACGTCCTGAGACGGCCCGGGGCCCGGTGGCAGGGCCCTGAGCACGTCCTGAGACGGCCCCGGGGCCCGGTGGCAGGGGGGATGCGGCCCCTCCCGGTGCCTGCGGTCTCCTGCCTGGGGCTTCTCATCCTGTCCTCTTGTTTGCTTGCGGACTGCAGGTTCATCCCAGAGGCCTGGTCGGCCTGCACGGTCACCTGTGGTGTGGGGACCCAGGTGCGAGTGGTCAGGTGCCAGGTGCTCCTGTCTTTCTCTCAGTCCGTGGCCGACCTGCCCGTTGACGAGTGCGAAGGACCCAAGCCAGCGTCCCAGCGCCCCTGTTACGCAGGACCGTGCCACGGGGAGGCTCCCGAATTTAACCTGGAAGAGACAGATGGCCTCTTGGGTGGCCTGCAGGATTTTGACCAGCTCTACGACTGGGAGTATGAGGGCTTCACCAAGTGCTCCGAGTCCTGTGGAGGAGGTAAGAAGGGGGATAGGCCTCCGATCAATGCCGTCCTCTTGGCCTTTCACTGTAGCTTCTCTCTCTGCGGGCAGTTGTGTCACGTGATTGTCTCTAGGCCAAGAAGGCTCAGTAGGGGGAAGAAACCCTTCTAAACGTAAAGCAGACTGAATGAAACACAGAGGTATTTCTCTCTGGGCCTGTCTCTCTTAGACTGTCAGCTATGAGTAGCTAACACAAGGAATACTTTTACTTTACTTGTCCTTCTGATAGTTTGCACTACATCTCAGTGTATCTGACCGAGAAACTCTGTTGACATGGGCCTGGCAATGCTGTTGACATTCAGTTTTGTTTGTCCATGCCCTTGCCTCAGTGCACATGGTGTGAATCCTGATCAAAGACGACAAAACTGTTGTTCCCAAGGACAGAGTACGCCACCTCTGACTTTCTCAGCTGGTCTCCAAAGTAACATCTGTTGACAAAGGGAAAGAATGTATAATGACAGTTAACACTGAGGTTACCTGGAACTGGAAAGGACTTTAAAGATTAAAGCCTGATCCCACTGCCATTTTATCAATGCGAAAACTGAGATAGAGCTGAGTGATTTTTTTCAAGATCACACATCTAGTTGGTGATATTTGGGACTAGGCCTGCTGTTTATTTCTCTGTCTAGGGTCCTTGCATCATACCTCGCTTCTTTAAACACTTAGAGACTTCCTGAAGTTTTATCATTGAATGAATGTTATTTAAATAATATTCAATGTTTCCATGTATATTAATCTGGTTCTCTTAGGTCTAGTCCATGGTGATAAAAGATTCAGTCATTTTTCTATTTCAGGTGTTAGTGATGAAACCATAGTGGGAGAAGAAGGTATTTAAGTCAACAATTAATTCTTTAAGATTATGATCTTTTGTACTACTGTAGAAAATACATTAGATGCATATGGTCACTGGGGTTCCCTGGTGGCTCAGTTGGTAAAGAATCCTCCTGCATTGCAGGAGATTCTGGTTCAACCCTGGGTCAGGAAGATCCCCTGGAGAAGGAAATGGCTGCCCACTCTAGTATTCTTGCCCAGAAAATCCCATGGATAGAACAGCCTGGCAGGCTGCAGTCCACGGGGTCACAAAGAGTCGGACACAACTTAACGACTAAACCACCACCATATGGCTGCTAACTCCCATACATACTCCCAAGAGAGATTTTGATAGGCAAGGAAAGGCTGGCTGATTTCCCGTCAAATCTCCCTCCATAGCTATCAATAACCCCTCTTGTCACGTTAAGGATCTGCATTCCCAGCAAAGTTTCTTTCTTAACTGGTATAAAAATATCTATATTGAAATGATTTCCCAAACTGTCTTCTAAACCATGACATCTTGGAAACTCTTTTATAAAAGCGTCTTTTGTCATTACTGGGAATGTAAAAATGCATGTGCCCAAATTGTTCATGTGTAGTTGAAAAGGAATGGATAGTGGAACAAGTACAAGCAGAGAATCAATTTTCTCCATCAGGTCACTTAGTAAGCATTTAATAATCTTGACCTTGAGGTTCTCATTTGTTTCTAAATCTTCCAATTTCAGACCATGGAGTTCTTAAGTGTTTTCATGGAGAGTCTGTTATTTTAAAACCTAAAGTTTTCCATCTGATTCTGGAAGACAGTTTCTTGGAACTTTACTCATCCATGTTGCTGGGGGCGCCTGCCACTCACAATGAGGACATCTTTTCTCCCGTGTTTAATGAGGGAGAAGTGTTGAGTAAGCTTTGATGGTCTCTGGGCCCAGGCAAGTTGAAAGGTCAGATGGAAAGGACATAGCCAGTGGCTGCAGTCGCTTCATTGCACTATAAGGAACCACTCAGGATTCCGGATGGTGTGTGTTTATCCCGTTTCCATGATCATCTGAATTGAGTGATCATGATCTTTTGTCTGAAACAAATGTGCCTTGAAAAAAATTATTTCTGCCCTCTATTACGATTCTCTAAGTCAAGTGGAACTTTATGAGCAGATGGGGAAAATGATGCCTTAGTGGAATATGTAAATAACCAGATACCTTTATCTTTAAGATTCTAACCATTCTGCTAACCAGGGGTATAAAATTCAAATCACTGAGAGTGTGTGGACTATTTATCATTTAAACTGTTTTCAGAATATATTGATTTGGAAATAATATTTTGTATGCTTCATATACAATTGATCTATGCTTATAGGAACTGAGGAGATATTTGTATAACATAAGTGTACATCATTTATATCCAAGGCAGGGAAGGTTCCTGAAATGTCTTAAGTCTTTAACTGTCAACAACTGCACATGCTTACCTATAGTTGTGTCACTGTACCAAGGTAATATATCTATGCCTAAAATGTTGAAAGTTGAGAATGCCAAAGTAGTGAAAAATATGCTTGGGTCATATGATCCATATGATGCCCAGACACACTAAAAAATTATTTCACTATACAAGACATGTATATTTAAATTTTAATTCATTTATTTTTAATTGGAGGATAATTGCTTTACAATATTGTGTTGGTTCCTGCCATACATCAACATGAATCAGCCATAGGTGTACATATGTTCCCTCCCTCTTGAACCTTCCTCCCACCTCCCACCCATCCCACCCCTCTAGGTCACAGAGCACCAGTCTGAGCTCCCAAAGTCATTCAGCAAATTCCCACTGGCTATCTATTTTACATATGGTAGTGTAATGTTCCCATGCTGCTGTCTCCATCTGTCCCACCCTCTCCTTCCCCACTGTGCCCACAAGGCTGTCTCTATGTCTGCATCTCCATTGCTGCTCTGAAGATAGGTTCATCAGTACCATCTTTCTAGATTCCACATATATGTGTCAATATACGATATTTGTTTCTCTCTTTCTGATTTACTTCACTCTATAATAGGCTCTAGGTTCATCCACCTCATTAGAACTGACTCAAATGTATTCCTTCTTATGGCTGAGTAATATTCCATTGTATACATGTATGACAACTTCTTTATCCATTCATCTATCAATGGACAATCTAGGTTGTTTCCGGGTACAGGACATGTATATTTTGAAATCATTGTTTGGCAGTAACATTTTGTGGTATTGTCACCTTTGATCTTACACCAAAATATAACCCACAAGGCTGAAGATTTTTTTAATCATTCTGCTGAAGTCAATCAAAAATGTGCAGGATTAACAGCTTTTAAATCAATTTGAGGTTATTCTAATTTTATTGTTTTTGCCATCTCAGAAGATGAAATTGGATAGACACAGAAGATGCCTTTCACCCAGCAGAAGTAGTGACCAGAAGGAACCCATTAGTAATTTAGACTGTAGCTGGTGGCTGCAATTACCTGAGTTCTCATCAAATATTAGATAGCAGTTATGCTATTTTGGGAGATATAAACAATGAAAACTCCATTTTCTGGAAGATTGAAAGTGAGCCTAATCTGTTCAGACCTGTGTCCTGGGTCCCACTATCATCTCCTGGTTACATTTTAATTTCCCATATGTGAATGGATAGGTGTAGTCAAGGAGAGCAGATCTGAACCTGAACAGCTTTATTATGTTGATCTCTTAAATGGTAAAATTGATATTAAAGTCTAGCTGAGGGAAGACTTGAAGCTGACATCAGCAAGTATTAATACTAAAAGGTCAAATCCTTTCCCTCTTGCTCCCTTTTCCTTATCCATCCTCTCCTTTTGCTCTGTCAAGAAAGAAAACTCAGAATCAGAAGGGATCTTAGGTACATGTGTGTTCTTTGTTGGTTTACAGTGTCCTTCTGGGCGAGTAAGTTATCCCATTGGCAAAGAGTACACACTTGATGAGTTAACTTCTCTCAGGCCTGACTGCCCTGAGCCAAGTATACTGTGAGCTCAGGTGAAGTCTTCAGACATCTTCCCTCTTCACCTTCCCACACCGCCATCCCCAGGCTGCTCTCTCATGCTTCCTCCAGGCCTGCTTTCCTACCACCTTGGCCCAAGTTGCACACTGTGCTTTGGAATACCCTGCCCTTTAGGCATCTCATTCGTTCATGCCACAAAAATGTCTTGTTGTGTTGACCACAGGGCTGGTCCCAGATCCTCCTTCATTACACAGAGCTCTGCCCTTAGGCTCCACCACCCTAGGCCCCACCCAGGAATGCTGTGACTACAGACCCCTGACATGAGGCATCCTTCTAGAAGAAGGTAGTAACTCTGGAATGCTTCCTAATCTCAACAATTAATTACCCCAAAGGTGATTTTTAACCTGAGCTAGGATTATTGGGTGAAGTCATGTAAACATGTTCCATGTGTCTCAGAAGATTTCCTGTGTAGAGACTTTAACCCTTGCAACCCCATTCCATGCAGGCCTGGAAGGACCTCAGTTCTACAAACCAGGGCTTCACAAAGGGGAAACGGGTCACATCACTCCACACATGATCCTCCTCACAAAGCAAGCCCTTTCATATGAGGCAGGAGACAAAAGCTGTGTAATCACTTCCTCCTTCAGGTACTGTTAACTCAAATTCATGAGCTTTTCGATAGCTGACTAAAGCCAAAATATCTTTTATTTTAGATCAACATTTCAAATCTCTGAAATACTACCAGGTCGGCAAATGAATTGAAACCTTAATTTCAAACAGAATCACAGCTTTAGATTCTGTATGGAGTAGTTTGTCTTGTCCACACCTTGTCGTCACGACTTTAATAATGCCAGACTATTCCAGTGGGAAGTATCAACGATGATACCAATAATTTCTTATGAAATGTTTTGCGATATTATCATACCGTGAATTTCAAGAGGCTCATCCCAGCTGCAACCAGGAAAACACCCTGAAGTCAGCATTCCAGAATATGATGGAATATCTTTAATGTCTAGCATAAATCTCCAATGCTCCACCCTGAACTGGCTGTGATATATTTAAATTATATTTTTAAAGCTCATAAAATGGCTTAGAAAAAAGAAAACTGACATTCATAGCTACACGGTAAATACTGACAATTTTTTTATGTTTGATTTGTCAGACTTAATTGAAAAAAAAAAGGCAATTCTGATTCTGACTTTAAAATGTCACTTTTTAAATGATGGTCTTGGTGAGCGACCTTTCTAAGTCAGTGTAACATCCCCTCCGGAAGCATGCGCCTGTGATCGGAGTGATAACTTCTTGGGGGAACATAGGATAGATAGGAGGAAAAGAGTAACAGGCCTGATAAGTGATAGGTCAGTTGTACTATAGTTAGGTACTAACTAATGAAGCAATGCAGAAAATTTTAAAAAGAAAGTGTATGTGTATTTATATATAAAACTAATTTTATGGGTTGCACATACTCTCCCATAACTATATACAAATGTTTAACAATAGATATCTTTATCTGAATATATAAATATATATATATGCTTATACACACACACACATAAATGGCTATAAATGACTAAACAGCAAACTATCAAGAATCTCCTGTTTCTCTTCTTTCAACTGAATTCTGCTGAAATGATTCCAGAGAAATGTCTAGGTTATGCCTGAAGATCTCCAGCAAATGTAACAGCCTCATAGTATTTTTAAATGTCAATGTTTTCAGTCATTAAAGCTCCAGTGCTAAAGCACAGCCAGTGCTGCTTCATTGTGTATCAACTGTAAGCTTAGCAAGTCTTTTCACCCTTCTAAGTCTCAGTTTCCTTATCTGTAAAATGGGGATAAAGTAGAGTCTTGTGGAGTTATTGAGAAGATTAAATGGGGCATGTCAAGCTCCCTACCTCAATACTTGGCTAATAATGTGCACTCTATGAATTTTTCCTATTGCTGTCATGACTGTGGGAAGCAGGGTGAAATGTCTTGACACTGTATTACCAGGTTGCATGTGTCCCTGCCCCATGAAAACCCACCAAGTGACTATATGCCAGTCACTCCTCAAACTCCTATTTTACTAGCTCTGTGGTCAGGGGTGTGTGGGTAGTGGTAGGAACATTGCCTTCCATGAATGCCATCAGTAGATGTCTTGTTCTCTCTCTCTGCTTCAACTTCCCAAGTGGCCCTGTGTTAGTTGCTTAGTCATGTCCAACTCTTTGTGTCCCTGTGAACTGTGCCCACCAGGCTCCTGTGTCCATGGGATCCTCCAGGCAAGAATACTGGAGTGGGTTGCCGTGTCCCCTATTCTGGGGGATCTTCCTGACTCAGGGATGGAACTCAGGTCTGCTGCAAGGCAGGCAGATTCTTTGCCATCTGAGCCACCAGGGAAGCCCCCCAAGCAGCTCTAGGTCACTAAAGAAATGAACCAAAATCAATAGGAAACCAGAAAAGCACTGGATGCAAGGCCCCAAAAGCATAGCAGTTTACAGAATGCTGGCTATTCCAATGTGGCTCTGGGCCTGCCTTCCAAGTACAGTCATCTCCTGTTGATTAAAATACAATGTGTGAAGTCTTGGGGTCATTGTTTTGGTCACCCTGCTCTCCTTCTGCTTTAAATTATCCTGTTTCAGCATGGGCAGCTGCATAGCTGGGTGGTAGTTTTTCAAGCATTTCAGCAGTCCTGGTAGCAGCCTCGCCCCCATGGGGGAGCTGCCCTCCTTAAGAGGCACAAACTCCTGAGTGCTTTCTCCAGACAGACTGATACCTGACGAGACGGGCAGTCCCAAGCTTTCAACTGCCCGACACACAGCTAGTCTGCCCAGTCTCAGAGATCTCCCACCAGCTGCCTGTCTACACTGGCTCACCCCCCACACGCCTGCTCTGGCCTTGATGGTGTCATCTGTACACAGGTGTCCAGGAGGCCGTGGTGAGCTGCCTGAACAAACAGACCCGGGAACCCGCGGACGAGAACCTGTGCGTGACCAGCCGGCGGCCCCCCCAGCTTCTGAAATCCTGCAGTTTGGATCCCTGCCCAGCAAGGTAAGGGGTGCGCCAGCTGCCCTGCTGCCCAGGAGCATGTTCAGAATGGGGCTTGTGTGTCTGTCCGTGGGCAAGATCAGAACGCTTATTGTTACCCAGTGTTTTGAAAACCAATTATCATCAGTTCAAACTCTTAGTCAAATCCACTTAAAGTTAATTGAAACCAGGGCTTTGGAATTCTAGCCCAGTGATCATGCTCAGGGTCCAGAAGGCTCCGTGCACAGAGGAAAAGCCCCATGGTGTGGCCGGAATGTGCCCGGGCCCCACTGATGCTTTCTCCCCAGGGGAACATGAACTGACCACAGGAGGCAGGGTCTTTGCCACCTCTCAGCCTGTGTCCCAAGCCTTCCCACCCTCATAACAGATGGGCTTGTGGGTCACAGGAACTGAAGGATCTGGGTGGTATCACTGAGCCACCATGAAATCCCTCTGCACACAGCATGCAGATTCATTATAGCATGCTCTGGAGTGTGTCATTTCACACGCAGAAAATCAATTCGAGCATTTCATTGTTCAGCCCTGCCTGGGTCTCATTATTAACCAAACTTGAGTTTTAGTTCATCAATGCAGTCACTGCTTTGGTCCACACAAGTTTATGGTGTCTTGGGAGACTTGCCTTCAGATACTTGTTGAGAGCCAGTCTCTGTAGAAGCTCAACCATCTCATCTATGATTTTGGTTTCCAAGAGGAGACATTTAAAGAACCAAAGCCAGTCTTGCAAGTCTGCTGATGGGATGAGGAATGTTCCCCGATCAAATCCTAGATGAGAAGGAGGTTGTTGTTACTGAAGGATATTTCTTGTGTTTCAACAGAGTATCACACAAGAAGCAATGTGTTGCCTCTAGGAATTAATGATAGGTTTCTGGTCAAGCTAATACTGCTTATCTTACTTCTCAGTCAATTAGATGCCTTTCTTTGGGATTTAGAAGATACAGGTTGCAGGCCTCCTCAGATTATTTCAGGGCACACAATCCCACAGTGACACTCTCCTGCTCATTGCCAGAGTTGCTCTGTCTGTTGATCTGAAAAGTTGTTCTGTCTATTGATCCCTCTTTAAGTGCAGAAGTGAAGGGGACCATTAATGCCATATCCTCTAAGGCAACCAGAAAATCAGTCAGCCATTGCTTGGAGCAGCACCTCACCCACAAGAACAGCAGCTGGTAAAATAGAGTCAAGGGCTGGATCACAAAAAGCCTAGATCCAGTGCATGGAATTCTGAGAAAACTCTTTTTCTATGCCTGCCCACTTCTGTGTCCTGACCTCACTGTTTATCAGTGGACCCAAGACCTAACTGCATGGGCAAGAAGTCCAGACCCTCTCTATTTGACTTCTATTTGACTTCTATTTGCCTTCTATATAGGAAGAAGCAGAAGGGATATAGGAAGAACAGCCTCTGGGGGCCTTGGCTACCAGATCAGGAAGCCCTGGTTCTCGTTTTAGCTCTGCCACCCACTAGCTGTGTGGCATTGAGCAAGATGCCTGCCCCTTCTGTGTCCACATCTGCAAAATGAGCTAGCTATACAAAATGATCTGAGGTCACGGTCCTGTTCAAATAATCCCATAGTTCTCCATGGTTCTTGTGCTGATAATCGATATCAGTGCTATTCTGCTTGTTTACCAACACTTTAAAAACAAGCATGAGGGTCTTTCTAACCACATCCCAGTGGTGTGATGACATCCAAATGCTGTGATGACCCTAGGCAAGCCCAAGAAGTCAGTACCTGGGACGAACTGAAAATCTTCTGGGATTTTCAGCCACTAAACCCCTGCCTTCCTAGGACAGCAGAAGAAATAGGACACAAGATGTTACTTCCCATCCTCCAAGTACAGACTGTAGTTAAATTAGATAAGCTTACTTTACTCTATGACCTTTTTACTGACTGGAAAACAAAGACTCTTGTTGGGCTTAACATTGTTTCATTTGCTCCAGTTCAACCCAGGGCTTTAATTTCCACCAGCAAACCATCAGACTGAAGGGCAGAACGTCTTACTGGACACGGCCAGGGTTTTCTTCGGCCAACTGTACACAGCTGAGCTTTTGTGGAATGATGCTAGTTAAAACAACAAAGGGGGCCAGAATGGCCTGATATGACTCCCTCTCTTCACCTCCTGTCCAAGAGCCAAAGCAGAGTTTCATCTTAAAATAAGAACTGTGTAGAGGTGTATCTCTTGTGGAATATTTCAATCTGACATGAGGGACAAAAAAACCTCTCCTGCTGAACATTTATGTCAGATGTATGTGAAAATGTGTTTAGTAGGGGTGTAGCAGTGTGTTGTTTTCCCAAGCACCTTCTATTCATTTGGGACTAATTTAAATCATTGATTCACAAGTCTTCGTCTGCATGAATCAGCGTTCTCTGCATAGCTTGAGGTATTCCCTGATGGGCTCCCAAGTTTATATACCCTGTCTTTTAGGCTCTTGGCTCATGCTGATGTCCATGTATTCAAAATAGAAAAATCCATAGCATTTTTGGTGGGATATACAGAAGTGATGTTCAAGTCTTGGTCATTGGGCTTATGACTCTTAGAGGTGGTGCTGGTTAAGAGAAGTAGCTTTTCTAGGAAGTTATTTGTCTTATTGAGCACCAGGTAGGAAGCCACTTTTCTTCTCGTGTATGGTCAGAGTTATCTGATCACACAGAGAATACCAAAGGCCTAGGAGGCATGTCCTATCTGGGCTGTCTCTCTGAGATGAAACTCACCATCTGATTTCCTCTGTGTGATTAGAGCTGGTATCAGAAGCACATTTCCAACTTTCACTAGGTTGAGGCAAATAAATTCTCATGCCTGACTGTGTTCTCAAGTAGGAGGTATTCCGATTGCTCCAATTTGTATGTGTGCACATGTGCACAGACTGCCTGCATTTTTTAGGACACTTAAAAAATTATTAAGTCACTAAGTCATGTCCAGCTCTTTTGCGACCCCATGGATTATAGCCTGTCGGGTTCCTCAGTCCATGGGATTTCCCAGGCAAGAATATTGGAGTCAGTATTCTTCAAAAGTCATTGCCTTCTGAATGGGATCTTCCTGACCCAGGGAATATCCTAATATTTTTCCTACATTGGCAGGCAGAATTCTTTACTGCTGAGCTACCAAGAAAGCTCACTTAAAAAAATAGTAGCTGTCTACTGGAGAGGACTAGGGTTGTTTTTTTTTTTCCCAATGCAAATTTAATTTTTTATTGAAGTGTAGTCAATGGCACCCCATTCCAGTACTCTTGCCTGGAAAATCCCATGGACGGAGGAGCCTGGTAGGCTGCAGTCCATGGGGTCGCTAAGAGTCAGACACGACTGAGCGACTTCACTTTCACTTTTCACTTTGATGCACTGGAGAAGGAAATGGCAGCCCACTCCAGTATTCTTGCCTGGAGAATCCCAGGAATGGGAGCCTGGTGGGCTGCCGTCTATGGGGTCACACAGAGTTGGACACAACTGACATGACTTAGCAGCAGTTAATTTACAATGTTATGTTAGCTTCAAGTGTATAGCAAAATGATTCAGTTATTTTATATATATATGTTCTTTTCTATATTTTATTATAAGATTTGAGCATAGTTCCCTGTTCTATACAGTAGGTCCTTGTTGTTTATCTATTTTATGTACAGTATTGTACATCTCTATTTTCTGTATAGTAGTTGTTGTTCAGTCACTCAGGAATGTCCAATTCTTTGCGACCCTATGCACTGCAGCATGCCAGACTTCCCTGTCCTTCATCATCTCCCGGAACTTGCTAAAACTCATGTCCACTGACTCAGTGATACCGTCCAACCATCTTATGCTCTATCATCCCTGTCTGCTCTTGCCTTCAATCTTTCCCACCATCAGGGATTTTTCTAATGAGTCAGCTCTTCGCATCAGATGGCCAAAGCATCGGAACTTCAACTTCAGCATCGGTCCTTCCAATGAATATTCAGGGTTGATTTCCTTTAGGATGGACTGGTTTGATTTCTCAAGAGTCTTCTGCAACACCACAGTTTAAAAGCATCAATTCTTTGGTGCTCAACTTTCTTTATGGTCCAACTCTCACATCCATACATGATTATTGGAAAAACCATAGCTTTGACTACATGGATCTTTGTCAGCAAAGTGATGTCTCTACTTTTTCATATGCTGTCTAGGTTGGTCATAGCTTTTCTAGCAAGAAGCAAGCATCTTTTAATTTCATGGCTGCAGTCACCATTTGCAGTGATTTTGGAGCCCAAGAAGATAAAGTCTGTCACTGTTTCCATTGTTTCCCCACGATATGACCGGATGCCATGATCTTCGTTTTTTGAATGTTGAGTTTTAAGCCAGTTTTCTCACTCTCCTCTTTCACCTTCATCAAGAAGCTCTTTAGTTCCTCTTGGCTTTCTGCCATAGGGTGGTGTCATTGTATATATTAATCCCAAATTCCCAATTTATCTCTGCCCACCCTTTCCCCTTTGGTAACCTTACGTTTATTTCCTATGTCTGTGAGTCTATTTCTGTTTTGTAAATAAGCTCATTTGTATCATTTTTTAGCTACCATGCGTAAGTGTTATTGTATGGTATTTGTCTTCTCTGTCTGACTTAGTTAACTTAGTATGATAATTTCCCAGTCTATCCATGATACTGCAAATGGCATCATTTCACAGCTGAACAATATTCCATCATACTTGTAAACCACATATTCTTTATCTATTCATCTGTTGAAGGACATTTTAGGTTGCTTCCATGTCCTAACTATTGTAAATAGTGCTGCTATGAATATTGGGGTACATGTATATTTTTGAATTAGAGTTTTCTGTAGATACATGGCCAGGAATAGGATTGCTGGATGATATGGTAGTTCTATTTTTAATTTTTAAAGGAACCTCCATACTGCATTTTGTAGTAGTCATACAAGTTTATATTCCCACCAACAATACAGAAGTGTTCCCTTTTTTCCACACCTTCTTCATCACTAATTATTGCAGACATTTTAATGGTGGTTATTCTGAGTGGTGTGAAATGTACATCACTGTAGTTTTCATTGCCTTTCTC